TCATTAGCACCTCTAGTAATATATTTACTTAGAAAAATGGTGACGTGTTCAATACTTATTTTATCCGCTGTATGTTCCACTTTGGTAAGGTTTCCCTTCTGTATGTAACAGACTTGATGCAATCCACAGTAAAAGTGACAAAAACAGACAAAGTTATTTTATTGCAGTGATTAATTTCCCCTATATGTAGAAAAAGTTACATTTACATCACATCATGAATCAGTCAGCAGCAGCATCTGATCAATATGTGATCCATGATGTGATGTAAATATAACATGTTCTACATATAGGGTAAAATTAATCACTRCAATAAAATAAMCTGAAAAACTGAAAGTAGTCAAACCAAATTTTTAATAGACCAAAATACAGTTACAAAGCAAATTAATTCAGATACAAACTGTTAAATTCAGTTTCAAACCATTAAATTCAGTTTCATTTTAGTAAAACTAATTGTCAAACCAGTGCATTCAGTTTCAAATAATGCACATTCAGATTCAATCTGAGCAATTCAAATTCAGTTCCTGCTGGCACAAGRTTTATCCCATAGAGACAGATGCAGTTAGAGAGGACATGGAGGTGAGGACAGAGGACAGAGTGAGACAAACGAGATGACCACTGAAGAGGGAGCACCCAAAAGAAGAAGTAAAAATCGATGTGCTTCAGAGACTGACAGACTGGAAATGTATTACATTTTAAAGGAGAAGCTGTMCAAACAGCAGGTTGATGTGGTCCTGTAGCTTTAAAATAATGAAAACGACAGCTCTGGGAGAGAATACCCCACAGAAACAAACCGAAAACTGGTTCAAAGCCCAAACTGAGAACCTGCTAAGGGATTAGACACAAGGATTACTGGGACACGTGAATAGACGATTAAAGGCCAAAAAGCTAATTAGAAGCAAGGAACAGGTGGTGAATTGTAAACAAAACAGATTAAAACTTGTAATATATATATAAAAACACAGAAACTGATTATTTTCAATGTGCTTCATTTAAAAGAACTGGTCTTTTTTATGATTCGAACTGATCAACAACACCACAGCTTAATGTTTAGATTGTGCCCAAAGTGTGTCAAGTTTTTGGTCATCACAAATAAATGCCGTGCACTTATCAWCAGACGGTCAAACAAGAAGCAACAAAGTGATTATTATTGTTTGGCAGCATGACAGCTCAGTGGTTAATGATGCATCACAGTAAGAAGGTTCTGGGTTTGGACCTGGGGTCTTTTTAGTGTGGGGAGTTTGCGTGTTCTCCTTGTGGGTTTTCTCTGGGCACTCCGGTTTCCCCCCACAGACCAAAAAACATGCATAGGTTGGCCTCAAGCCCAGGCCTCCCTTGCCAAAGAGATATGTGAACTCAATGGGATTTACCTCAATAAATAAAGGTTAAAACACATATCAGCTGAGTATAACTGAGTCTGCAGTGCCTCACAGTGGTCATGTGTTATTACAACTGAATGAACTAACACAAGTCAGCCACAGCAGGACAGTAGATGTGTGTGAATGAGGGGGAGGCAGGTGGAGCAGCGAGGCCACAAGGAGCAGAGGTCACAAAGGTGCAGGGAGTCAAGTACTTTAGGTCAACTGTCCAGGAAAACAAGGAAGTGAAGAAGAGAGCCTGAGGCAGGATGAACCCTGCTGTTAAACTTTTAAAATAATTCTGCTGTAACTGCACATCTGTGTATATTGTCTGCACTGTGATACTTTACACTTAATGGTCTGTTGAGATTATTTAGCACTGAAAATAGGCAAATTCTGAAGCTGAGTGAAGCTGACACCCAACCCACATAAAAATCCAAGCAAATGGCTGAGTGGTTAGTGTTTCGTTTGTGCAGTTGAAATTTTTGTTTGTGCTACTAGGGTTTTTGAAATATTAAATATATTTTTTTGGTCATTCAGAGGTCACCATCGCCCCCGCACCCCCCAGCAAGCTCTGAAATGAACCAAACTAGTCAACTTTTTTAGTGTTTCGTTTGTGCAGTTAAAATTGTCGTTTGTGCTGCTATAATTTGAGATATTGCAAGTTTTAGTTTAATATGATGACATCATCGTGCCCCCAGCAAGCTCCAAAATGAACCAAACTAGTCAACTTTTTTAGTGCTTCGTGCACTGTGCAGATCGATACTGAAATATCGATACTACCTATACTAATTGTTCTAGAATCRATTCTAAAATAAAAAATATCGTACTTTGACACTTTAGTTATGCCACATGATGTATATCATTAAAAGGAAAATAGTGGAAAACAACTAAACTATTCAAATCATGTCTAAAACATATGTAGTTGGAGGGAACTACTTTTTCTTCCGCTTGATTGATACATAAGCACAGTGGCACGTGTTCAGTCAGTCACTCAGTATATTGATGTATGGCAGGTCATTTTAACATAAAATCTGCTTCGTCTGACTGTCTGTAATTACATTCTAGATGAGAGGTTCCTAAACTTTTTCATGCCAATGGCCGCCCCCAAACAGCATTTAGCTCTGGCCAAGGACCTTCTTGCAAACCCACAAACATGCTACAAAATATACAAAGCAACAACTTTTAGAATATTTTTTCTCACTTTAATTCACTATTCAAAAATATTATGTTTCTTTAGAACAAAAACTTTTAAATAGTGCTAAACAAATGTTGGGTTAGACTTTTAAATTAAATAAATTAATATGTCATGTATTATTTATAAAGCAGTTATTTGAAAAACACWACTTTTTAAGGTTTAACAGACACATTATGTCTGTTATCACGAAGTATCAGTATCGGATCAGTATCGCCGATACCAGCCACATTTTACTTGGTTTCAGTATCGGAAAGAAAATTGGCAGTATCGAACATCACTATGCAGGTTTGTGCAGTTAAAATTATTGGTTGTGCTGCTATAATTTACCCCGGGTCTCTGCGGACCAGAAGGCGTTTCCAACAAAAGGCGGATCACAACAGACACACCTGATTGGACAACCTTTTTCAGGGAACACATCTGATTGGACGAGCTTAAAGAGGGGCGTTGCCTGACAACCACACCTGATTGGACGAGTACGCCTTCTTTGAGTCTGCAGAGAACCCCCTTCTCCCCTCGTCTCGATTAGTGTCCTCCATCGTGTGTGTAATGAGGCAGAAGTGGGCGTCTCTCTGCAAACTCGGATGCCCCCCAACTCTTCTGTCCTCTTGCAGATTAGTCGCTCTCAACCAGAAGCACGTGCTTTGGTTCCGTCAGTCTCATGCTAAAATGGCAGAAGAGGCGAAGAAACTGGCAGCTTACTCCGCTGTGGATAACCACGTTCAGGTACAGTGAACTTTCAGGTGAACTCCGTGTTAGCTACCGCTATGTAAACAAATACTGTTATTTAGTGATTTGTGCTCGGAAAGGTTTTAAACAGATGTACGCTCTCCAAGCGTGGCCTATGTCGATGTTAGCGAAGTTAGCCTCGTATCGCTCTGCCCGCCATCGTTTTTTTAACTTGCACAATTTTCAAGCAGCATTCTCTTTTGCGTGGCGCAAAGCATTCTGGGAAGCTGCGCCATCTTTGGAGCTACGCTAGAGGGAGCTCTATTAAACAACTGAGAGAGATGTTCACAACTCCAAATCTATCTCATGCCTGGTTTCCAAATATAATACTATTTACACAAAGAGATATAATATAGTTATTCAAATAGTGTTGTTGCTGATTTTCTGTGCAGTTACTAGTTAGCATAGAAAACAAAGTTCCAATTACTTGAATTTCAGCATATAACTGTATAAACAAACCTGTTTTCTCCACATTTACATTCAATATATATTTACATCAACAAATATAGATTGTATTTCTAAACTGAAACAAGGAAATGTAAAATGTGTCGTTATGAATAGGATCATGCACTCCCAGCACCTTGGTGAACCTCATCCCAGGTGATTCTTACTGAAGATGATTCAGGACAGTGTGCACAACAAACAGGAAGTAAAATCAGAGAGGGAGGTGTAACAAACTTCTACAGCTGAAGCAATTTTACTCAGAAGGCCCATTTGTTAATTCAAACATTTTACATGCCTTGCTTTACTAAATGTTTTATATAAATTATTACTTTCTGATATTTTTTGCATTGTCATTGTTATAATGCCGTTGGGTTTGCATTTTTTTTGCTTAAGAATATCATCTTAAAAGTTCTGCTAACAGTTTTTTCTTTCCATCTAAATTGGCCATGTTAGACGCATAGACTGTTACTGTGCAGTGGTTTAACTTTGACTAAATAGATTTGTTTACTTGAATCTTAAATGTTTTGTACTTTTGCACTTCTTGCACTGCAGTTCAGTATCTTCATCTGAACAAATGATAAAAAAGAACAAAGGTGGTCTGCGTTCCTACTCTCCTATGGTCACAACAGTGGGTAGCACTCTTGGAGACTAAGCACAGAATAAATTGTATTTACCAGCTAAAAGAAGACTATTTTGCCTGATATGTCCCTTTAAATTCCTCCTGAAAACTCACTTTTTATATTGGCTTTTAAAAGAAGATCAGTTTGGTCTTTATGTTTTTTTTTTATTATCAGTCTGCTTTGCCAATGCAATGCACACTATTGTGATTCGTTTCCCATC